ACCTCAGCCTAGTGGCTACAACGGCAGCCTGTAACTCCAGACGCGGAATGGTCAAGGCTTTGATTGGCGCAAGCCTAGTCTTACTTAAAACAAAGCTCACATTGACATCTCCACGAGTCACCGCACGGAAATACGCAACTGCTCCGTAAGCGATTTCTGACGCGTCGCAGAACACGTGTAGTTGTACCTTTAGGCATCGGTCGCGGTGGAAGCCATACCACCGGGGAATCATGATCGTTTGAGAGGATTTCAAACCTTCTTTCCAACCTTGCCACTTCTGGAGGATATCATTGGGCAGCTCGCTATCCCACTCAATCTGGCGTCTCCACAACTCTTGGATGATCATTTTCGCCTTTATTACGTAGGGCGCGGCAAGGCCTAGGGGATCAAACACGCTACTCGTGGCACTCAATATTCCTCGCTTGGTGTTTGGGAATTTACTCTTCGCTGGTTCAAGACTCAGCAGATCTTGCTCTGCACACCACTTGACACCTACGGCTCTTTCTTGAGGCAATACATTACGATCTAAGTGAATAATGTCGCACGCCACTTCGGACTAAGGGATTGCTGTGAGCACTTCTCGGCTGTTTGACATCCACTTCGTTAGGCGAAACCCGCCAATTGCTAGGATTCCTTTCAAATCTTTAGCTAGACCTGTGGCTTCATCACAGTTTTGCTTCGATGCTGGGAGGTCATCCATACAGAAATTACGTCGAACAGTGCTGATGGCATCCTCGATGAATTTCCCTTGCTGATCTCTGCAACGCGTAGTTTGCGCAACACGGTGAATCAACAGCGCCAAACACGTGAACAGTCATCTTATAWTCATTTTGTCTCTTCGTTTCATCTAAGTCTCTCCACAAGAAGCGCAAAGAGTCTCTATCTTCTTCACAAACTCTCACTTAATGAAACATTTGTTCAATGTCCACCATTAGGCCGATCCTTCCAGTTCGAAATCTCATGAGGACCCCTACCAAATTGTTCAACAGGTCGGGGCCAGTCAGAAGCTTGTTATTCAAGAAAACACCATCAAATTTTGATGCGGCGTCAAAGCCCACACGGACCTATTCAGGCTTGTCTGGATTAACAACTGCATGGTGTGGAAAGTACCATGTTTTGGGGGTTATCACTTTGGCCTCTTCTTGTGTCATCCTTTGGGCGCGTCTTTTAGTGACATAATCGTTGATGACATTCTTATATTTCTCTGCTAGCTCTGGATTTTTCTTGAGTTTTTTCTCAGTGGAATGAAGTGTTGAAACTGTCATAGCATAATTGTTAGGCAAGACTGGTTCACATTTCCATAACAGTGCTGTTTTATAGTGGCCTTCCTGCTTGATTGTGTTGCTTTCAAGGATAGCCAGTGCTGTTTTGTCTTCAACTGACAAGCTGGTTACGTAAGAGTCGATCTCCAAAAATCGTTCGATTTGATGCTGCAATGTAGTCTCTCTGTCTGATGCAAGAGAGTTTGCACTAATCGTTTCACAACGTCCTTGATTCACATTTCCAAATAGCGTCCATCCAAGAGGGGTCTTTACTGCGATAGGCTCATCTCGTTTCCCCTGGCGGACTTCAAGGTGAATCAACATGTGATCCATGTCAGCTCCAATGGGAATTATCACGTCACAACCTAGAAATTCAGGAAGATCTACATCAGATAAGTGATTCCACTGCTCGACGGTCCTTTTCTTCGATAACTTGAAAGATGGAATGTTGAGTTTGCTGATGACCCAAGCTCCATGCACCATAACCGGGTCTGGTTATTCTTTAGAGAAAAGACAAAAGCTTACCCTGTCTAAGGTCTGAGTAGTAGCTTCATTGCCAACTGTATTAATGTTAAGGCGATATGCCTCGCCAACAAGTTGTAAGCGTTCAGCTAAGTCTTTCCTAATCAGAGTTGAGTCACTTCCAGGATCAAGGACAGCATACGTGTCAACCAAGTTCCCTTGCAATTGACTATGAATTTGAACCGGGAGCACTTGAAGGAACACCTTCCGCTGGGGTTGAAAACAGACTTGGTTGATGTTGGTCGGAACGATGGGCAACGAATTTGACACAGGTTCTGGGTGACGAGCACTTTCCTTTGGAGAAGCCGATGGTTGGATAAAGCTACTTTCGTTGCTGGTGAGACCAGGAGGCGACTCTACTCGAAGATCCTCATGTAAAAGGGTGTGGTGGGGACGCCCGCACCGTTCTTTAAGACAACGCTTTGTACTGGGACACTTCTTGACTTGGTGGTTCGTTTTCAAACAATTGAAACAAAGTCTATGCTCCCTTGCAATTTTTCGCCTTTCTTGTTGGTGCTTAGACTTAAAGGCAGGACAAAAGGCAACAGGGTGTTTGTACTTGCAGATGACACATCCCTTTTCATTGGATGGGGTTTTCTCCTGCTCTTTGTTCAATCATTGGGTTTGGGCTTGCTTGGAATCTGACAAGTCGCTGCTGTTGCTTGGGGCGTCTGGAGACTTTCTTGTTGTCGTGGCGAGGGAATTTAACTTAAGATTTGGCTTTGCTTTCGGGTACCTTTGTTTCTTGTTCCATTCTTCGCATATGAAATCCTCAAGGGGGTTAAACAGTGTTTCTACTCGCTTGCGTGATCACTTCTCAAACTCTACCAGGGGGGATCTATCACTGCGTCCATCTATGCATTCATACCATCTTACTCGGAGGTTCATGGGTAACCTCATAGTTGCCCTGCTGAGATACTCTGGGGTTTGGAGAATAGCTGACTTACCCATCTTCACACACCATGCCGTACGTGCCTTCACTTGGTAATAGTAGTCACGCAATGCTTGCCTATCATTTGAGGGTACATAGGCACTGTTAAGCATGTCATGCAGATAAGCTGTGGCCACACTGTTTGGGATCCCAAACTGACGTTTCAGTGTCTTAAGGGCAGTGGGTAACTATGACCTGTAACACCTAGACTTTCCACTGCTTTCTGAGCTTCCCCGTCGAGATTTTGGACTAAAATAGTCCATTCTACCTGAGTCGGTGACGGTTGTCTTGTTGTGAATTTGATCACGAAACCTCTAAATGAGTTTGGGCCACTCGATAGGTTTTCCTGTGAATTTAAAGAGCTCAAGCGGTGGTAATCGCTGCTGTTCTTGAGCTCGCAGAAGAGCTACACTTGAATCTGTTTGTAAGCTAGTAAAGGACCACTGAAAGGATGTTTCTTGGCCTTCTCTCAATTTATCAATAAATGTATCCACCGGTTCTTCTACTTGTAGAGAATGACTGTCATTTCTACTAGGTCCACCAAACTAAGGGGTTGATGTGCTCCGGCTGGCTGGGGCCCATTGAGTTACGTAAGATGGCTGAGAGTGGTTCGCTGGGGCAGTGAAGTTTGACTTGTGATGAGTTTGGGTTAGGTTGTCATGGCAACTACCACAAGGCGTTGATGCCAGAACAACACTGCTATCCCCCACTAGGGAACTAAATGTTGGAGGGACTTCTCCACCAGGCCCACGGCAAAATGACCGAGTAACAGCAGTTCTTGCAAGAGCAGCTATGTTACTATTATCAAATGACCCAGGTTTACGTTTGGGCTGGGACGCGGTCACATAACAAGGTGAAGACAAATATCAATAAGATGAAGGCCTCAAGGCTAGACTAACAGGGGTAGCTGCAGTTAATTGAGACGAGTATTTTCTTTCAGGACTGTATAATCCCCGTTGAGGCGACTGCACTGCAGTACTGAGTGTTAACATATCTGATTCACTTGCTTGGGCAACTGGTACCTGAGTAGAGCCTAAAGTGAGACTAATGCTATGAGTTGCATGGAACTCTAGATTCTTTACTGGCAAGGGCTTGGAAATTGCTTACAATGGAGAGTATGCATATGAGACAACTTTTCTATCCAGAGTTGACTCTGTGTAAACATCTCCTTAGAGTTCTCGGAAAATGTATCCGTTAGTAATCCCGGGTTCAACTTCAGTATAGGGACTATCTTTGCGTTCAACCTCAGAGATTGCTTTAGGACTGGGCGCTACATAATGTTTCAAAGATGGCGAAGATTTACTGACCTAGAAGATTTCATTATTAGAGGCCTTTCCTTCGTTAAATTCTTGACCCACAATTTCATGCTCAAGGTGTGTCACTTCAGCTTGATCTTGAGCGGAAATCACAACCATTTCGTCTTCTCTTTTCCTTCGTAGTAGGTCGAGCTCTCGTTTTCGACATTCAAGTCTCCACTCTAATTCCATTTGAACGATTTCTTCTTGAAACTCCTGTTCACGTACTTCATTGCCTCTCTTAACTCGTTCGGCAAGCTGTTTTACTTGAAGGTTTGCGATGGAGGCCTTTACTTTAGCGTCTCTTCTATTCTTTGACGAGGACGACGAAGAACTAGAGCGAGAAAGCGCTTTCGAATGACCAGAATCGACCTGGCTTACTTTGCTTACCGAATCTTCAGGGGTCACTTCAAGGCTGCTATGAAGCGGTCATATCACACATTCGTCGACCAAGTGCCACGATTCTTGATTGCTCATCGTGAGCGGTTGATTTGCATCCGGCTCGATTGGACCAAAATTGGTAAGACCAAATAAAACGAGAGTTTTNAACTGCGCGGAAGGTTGGAGAAAATAGCGAGGATTTAGGCAACCTCAGTCTTTCGTCGTCTACGGCCATTCTAAGTAACAATCAAATTGTTGTGTGCGAGAGATATAACGATCATCTTCAGGTATTTGATCGATTTTCAAAAACATTAACCTTTAATCGTCCAGTGTATTTGATCAGGCGTGAGAAGTCCTGATAAGGACTACTATAGTTGACAAAAAGTGACGCTTCCATGACCTGAGCAGATGACATTCCGGGAGTCATCCGAAGAGAGAAGAGCCTGTTTCATTACAGCTGATGGGTCAGTCCATAACCTACAGCATCACTGTAGAGCTTTATTTCCGGGTTCATACCCTTAACTGTAAAATGAACTTAAACTTTCTGTAAGTCAACAAAATTTTAAACTCTTAGCTACTCTCCGGAATGTCTATTCCAGCTGTGTTGTGATACACCTACTACTGAGTAAAATATATGCAAAATCAAATAATTTACGCAGCGTTTTTCACAAACCAAGTCTCGCCCATTTAATCGAGTATTTTATTTTCGTCTTAGCCTTTTAACAACGAGAACGAGAAGTGCTGAAACAGGAATGACTTTTTTATTGCTTTTCCAACACTGTTCATCATCGCCACTTCCGAAGAGTTTACATAGCCACTAATTAAGACATCCTTTAATCCGTTCGCTTATCCCCGCTTGGGTCAAAAACTGCTACATTATATTTTATTATTAAATGCTCTACGCAGTCATAAATCAGTTGGACTTTATTAAAACCCATAAAATTAGGAAAACTGTCACTCAAGAGTGAAATAGTCGAAAGACGGGATACTGCTTTCCCCGTTCATAAATCAAGTCTCCGTAAATCACAATCCGTGAGATCATATGCGATTCTCTTTGCGTAAAAAAAGACCATTAAAATAAATCTAGAAAGATCGGTAGACATTTGACTTAAGAAAAGCTCTAGTAACAAATTTTAACTCTGTTTACCGTTTCAAGGAAAGGTCTAAGCATGTCACCTTGGTTTCAAATAATTTTGACCATGAGCTGCGTTACGACACCAAGTTAAATGACTTTTTTTATTTAATATATTTAAATATTTAATTCTAAAAAATGGGCTAAAACAGAACTTCCCTTCTCTTTATTTGATATTTTACATTGCTATTGCAGCCGTTTAAGTCCAAGAGAAATTTTAACTTGAAAATGAGCTGTCGGCGGTTTGCTTTTAGAGCTTAATACTTCCGCGGTGTGCTGCTGTAATGGTTGTTAAATCACTTAATAACATCCTGAATTAGTTATCACGTAGACCTATAAATTAAAATAATTAATCTAATTGTCCGTGGTCATCCATTCGTATTATTTAATTCAAAGAAACAAGCTAAAGTTGAATTTATCTTTCTATCCATTACAAATAATTCCAAATCAAAAAATGGAAAGTGTGTTAAAAGAGAAATGGTGGTCAAATTAGGAAAAGGTTGTAAGAGATCGGTACCGTAATGTCATTAATCATGATACAAACTTGCAATCAGATGTACTTGACAACACCTCCACGGTATTTATATGGGACTAAAAGGCCTAGAAAAATTTTAAAAAATCCGTATCAAAAGTTGAATTTATTTCCACTGTGTAGTGACGAATTCAAGACAAAGCACTGAATCACAAAGGCTTGAAAGGTAAGCTACATCTTTATTCCGATGGAAAACTGCAAACGAGAACTAGGCAAGCGAGATGTAGCAGGCTTTAAACTCTGTCTGCATCTATTTCTTCTTGAAGTGTTCCTTTGGGCGTTTAGATCTAAGAAGACATAACTGGGTGCCTTGTAACTCTTTCCTAGTTTATTGATGCCGTCAGAACCGGTGGATGTGTGATACTTTTATTGATCTCTTGGCGAAGCATTACAGCATTCGCTCAAAAGAAAACATAAAATTTACAAAAGTATCATCTGCCACGAATGTCTGCAATTATGATAAATAAAATCAAGTTAAAACTTATTTTAACTTTTTTTAAAGGTTGGATGTCAGTGGTTATTACTCAGTAAATATGCAAAAAGAGGGGTTTTTGAGGTTAAATAATGCAAGTCGTGAAATTAATCCTTCCTTTCAAATAAATTAATGGTATTACGAAATATTATACGAAATTTAAGGCTTGTTTAACCTTCATAATAAATTGAAAAGTTCCATTATCTCATCGTGACGCCAAACAAACGAAAAACGACAAGTTATAACGTTAACGACTTTCCCTTCATGTCACCCTTCGAAACAAACTGGTAAAGCGAGAAATTTGATCGTTAAAGTTAAGGTTAATTTTGAATTTACTTACCAAAAAAAGGTGTATGAGAGAGGAAAACATTTCAAATATCAAAAAGGGTTCAGTGCTGCAATCTGAGGCCAATATCTTTTCTGATCATTAGGAAACACGAACCGGAAGGTTCACAAATACGACAGCCGCCAAACTGAATTGCGTAATAACTTTGCACATCCGATTCATTTAACTTGAAACCCTTAAGTGAAGGTGCTTACAAAATTGTTTATCATTTTTCCACGACTTCATTCACCTTTCAGACTATAATGTTGCTGTATTATTTCAAAAGGCCTTACCATGATCATAAAATAAAATCAGTATGTATAAAGGTGTCTTTCTATCCGTCCGATTTTACCACGTGACGGGCTCTATAAAATAATTTTCTGCGTTAACATGTCAAAACTCTCCCAATAGGTGCACAGCTCGAGGTTAGATATCCTTTACATCGGGCGAAGCGTGTAATTGCTATATTTAACTTAATGTGCCCTTAGTGGAAAGTGAGGAATATTTTTCTCTACCTTTCCGACGCCATAAGTTAAAAGAAATTAACATAACAAAAAGTTGATTTTTTTTCCTAAAGAAGCACTGTGGTAGTAAACACATTTTCTAGATAAGAACTAAATAAAAATTTCTGAATTCGTTTGGCCAATAGACTATAAAAAACATCAACCTCATATTGCAATGAGTTGGAAAACATACGAAAACTGCAATAAAGAGGAGGAGGAAGTTAACTTTGTTTTGAGTAATTGATATTAGATTTTTGAAAAAAAGAACCAAGGGATTAAGATGATATAACCACCTGAAACTGAAACCACCTTTTGTATTGAAAAAGCTTTTTATCCAAAGAATCTCTTAAGAAAACCATTCAACTAAAGAGTATTTTCCTTTTAATTAAAAACCCATATGCGAATGATTATGAAAATAAGAATCACCCTGAATTACTGCATCAATTACTATTGTATAAAGCCTGCTTTGTTAAGTGAAAACTTCATTTGGTTACGATAATCTTCAGCAAAGCGGGTGATAAGATCGACTGCTACGTCGCATTCGTAAGTACATACACAATGTATATCAGCAAAAAGAATGTCTAAGTACAACTTGTCTTTAAGTCTAGAAGTTTCCGCGTTGAAAAACACGTGCAAACATAATTCTTTACAAAGAAATTACTTATAATTTTATTTTTTTGCATGTGCGTTCTCATGTATAACTTTCAGTTAAAGTGCCACGGGTGTGTTTACAAAATGATTTTGTTTTTCGATAAAAATTATGACTTGCTAGAGTGGGCAACGTAAAAAAGCAACTGTAAGCAACTATCAGGTTTTGAATATGTGATGTGGAACATCGCATATTTCAGCCGCATATCTGTTAATCCGAAATACTTTCAACGGCAACGCCCCAAACTAACCGACTTTTATTTTAGACTGGAGCAAAGATGGTACGTTGTCGGCGCTTTACAGAAGACAGTGACCTCATCACCAAGGTATGGTTCTACTTTGTACAACACCAGTTCATTTCTGAGCGAATTTAAGGCAAAAAGGGAGAAGTAAAAGACCAGCAGACTTTCTGTATATAATCGAAATACTTCAGTATTCATGTGCGTTGCTAAGAAGTGCACTTCATACCAATGGATCTAGTTTATTTTTAGGTTTTAATCACAGAATTGTAAGTTGGAATCCTCTTGCACAACTTTAAGAACAGTTAACATGAAAATACTGCACAAAAGCTTTTATTTGAATGGTCAAACAGAGAAGTTTCATCCTCACTCAAATTTGAAGTTAGAGATATCTTTTTCACCTATGAGAACACTTGCCTATTGGTTTTCATTTAAATGGTCAGGTACAAAGGTTAAACTAATAGTTATACGTTGAAGCCATCTTGAATTACACCATAGACATTAAAATAGTCGATAGGAATGACAAGCACTACACCAGCTTAAGGCACTCTAGAACTTTCAAAAGCTTTTACGTA